CTCTCTCTCTCTCTCTCCTTCCTGCTCCCTGTCTGTGTGCCACGAGTGTCTAACTCAATGAGTCTCGTTCATCCACCTAAATCTCTCAGCCTCTGACTTTGTCCGCAGGCATTAGGATTTTTTTTCCGCCAACCTCTGATGGACTGTAAATACGATGACATGGTACCTACTTTGTTCTGAATCCCTGTTCTCTCCCCCTTGATCCCTCCTTTTATCCACCTTTCCTCTCTGCACCATGTGCTCCTGTAGATTAGAGTTGGCATTTGGCTTCTGAACATCCCAGGTGTTGTAAGCACAAGTGCACGTCTCCAATTGTCCTTTGTCTTTTTACAGAGCACAGCGCTTAGATGTTCCCAAGTCGAGGCCAACATAAGGTTAACAGAATGCAGACATCAGCCTAGCCACCGAGGAGCCCTAAGCTAGCTTGGCTCGACACGCTAGCACTCACACATTTTGCAAATCTAAATCTCTAAACCCCAGGTTTTGTCTTGCTTAGCAGAGCCAGACAAGGAGTTTTTGGAGGCTTTTCCTTTTCTTCTTTAGTTGAACATCGAGGGAAATCTGCTTTAATAGCCTGCAGACTCTTTAGGTGTCTTTCCGCACTCAGGTTTTGATTGGCAGCCCAGGTGCTCAGGCAGTATTACCATAGTTATCTCACTACCCCACATGCCTACCAGTACTCACAGCCACCAGAGCTGTCTGTCACGCCTCGCAACCTATAGAGTTCACTCATAAAAGGGATACACATGCAAACAGGGGTTGTGTTGGTTCTACAGAAGTCACAAACTTTAAACAGCAAGGTGATCTCTGCCAAGGCTGACGCTGAGATAGTAGCAGAACTGAAAGTAATTCATGATATATAAAAGATACTAATACTTCCCCAAGTGAAAACCTTTATTATCATGTCTGTTTATGACACCTTTCACAATATTTGCTTCTGTGTCCGTTGTTTCCTCTTACAGCCACAAAAGGGTGCAGAATCTTTTTATGAAATGTTGAGGGGGAGGAAAGAAGAGCTGTGTCAAAGATTTTTAGTTTGCAATTTTCTTGTCAAGTAATTTACTACTAGGCTGGGTATAAAAGATTGGCGGAGAGAAAAATACGCTGCGTCCAGCATTCTGTTGCTGCTTCTTTGATTAAACTGACTGCTCACCTAAACGGTGCGAGCAAATTAGCAGTTTTCTAAATTGGAGGGTTTTATTCCAGTTTCAAATATTCGTTGTTTCAAATGCAAGTGCATGACACAAACATTAATTTTATGTTTATTTTGAGACTGTAACAACTTATGGCACATACCATCATTTACATATAGCTGAACAGGGAAACACAAACAATAATAAAATAAAGATACCATGAACCCCTCATGAAAGATACCCTATCACACACACACAACTACATGTCAAATCCTTTTTAAAGATCAGTTTTAACTGTGTTCAAAATGGTTCAATTTATCCATTTTGAAGGAGGTAAGGAGTTCCAAATATCATTATAAGATGTATAAAAACAATTATGAAAAATGATGATTTTTGTGTCTCTCTCCTTTTATCTGTCTCCTTCAGACTCTCATGGGATGGATCTGTTTGCGGTCGCTGTCCATGAGTTTGGTCATGCCATCGGCCTGGTCCACACCTCAGCCATCGAGTCCATCATGAGACCGTACTACCAGGGTCCTGTAGGAGACCCTTTGAAATACGACCTACCATATGAGGACAAGGTCCGCGTCTGGCAGCTCTACGGTACGAGGGTACACCCATCCACTGAAAAAAAGGAAAAAGAAAATAAATTCCCCACGCAAGTTTGCAAAAAATTTATATTAAACTATGGAAAGCAGCTGAGCCAGCCTTTGTCTTTTCTTGATAAATGAATCACACAATTAATTGCCTTGTCTTTTGTGTGTTCTTTTATCACATATCCTCCCTAGGTGTCAGAGACTCAGTGTCCCACACAAATCGACCAGGCAGCCCCTCCCAGACGGCTGAACCTCCTGTCCTGCTGGACCTTCCTGAAAACAGATCCACTCTCCTGTAAGTAAGATCTGATAGTGCCACACCAAGAACCTTTCTGACTGTCAAACACTACACTCCTTATCTCAAACACACACAGTAGTGGTTTGTTCTTTTCCAAGCGCCCTCAGGCCCCTATTCATTTCAATTTCAATTCAATTTGCTTTATTGGAATGAGTGTAACAAAGACAATATTGCCAAAGCATTAAGAAATGATAGAGTGAAAAGAAAAGAAAACATTAGAATTCATTTAATCAAGAAAATATCAGAAGTCAAAGTAGGTGTGTGTGTGTGTGTGTGTGTGTGTGTGTCCACAGCCTTGGTGAATATGGTGGAGCACAGGCATGTCCCCTGTAAATGAAGACGGAAAGGCAGTTTAAAGTAAAAAGACCCACTAACAGCCCCTAAATGCTGCAGTGTGGAGCCTCTAGGACAGGGGTTTCCAACCTTTCTTGTCAACGGTCCTGCCTGTTGAGCAGTAATCCTTCGTGCACACATCATGTCCTCTCCCAAATGTTCATTTGAACTGATTTTAAATATTTTTTTAACTATTAATGATAGAAAGGTGAATCTAATGGTCACTGTTATCGTCTCTTCGTTAATTTCAGCAAATTATTATTCCTTAGCCTACTAGCCAACTATTTTAACTATGTATCTATTATTTTTAACATAACAATTTAAACAGTTTGTACATTACTATTAGCGATATAGTTCCACAGTTTATAAGTCAACTGTTTTTGAATTATTTTTACTAACTATGAACCATTCCTATTACTTTTACCTATGTATTCTGACAATTTATTCATTGCTTTTAGCCAACTTTGTCAACTGTTTATCCATTTGACAAGCGGACAATTCCAACCATCTGTTACTTATCCATTTAGTTAGTCTCATCGCTGTGAGCTATGGTTATGGAAAATAAACAGTACAGTTGTACATTTGCCTTTAGGAACTTTTGGATGCATGTTGTTCACGTGTTACAGCTGAATGTGGATTTTTTTTTCAATATTCTTCATATTGATTGAGTGACTCTCCAATGTTTCTACATAACCTCTGGCCTCTTCACAAGTATATACGGGTACATGTACCTCCGGTGGAGAATCACTGCTCTAGGAGAATTTAAAAAATATAAATATGGGCTTAAATGTTCCACACACACAGGTCAATTGCTCTTCAGCTCACTCTGTACTCAGCATCATGGAAAAAATGTGCTGATGGATTGCCACAATATATGGTATGTGTTTCATCCGCATATGTCTATATGTTTTTATATTTTTATATTATCTGTGCATTACTGGTCATTTGGCATTAGTGGGTTATTAAAGAGAGAGATAATGTAAGAGTCAAAGAGTCAAAATTGTAAATAGTTTTATTTACAATTATTATTTATTAATTTATTTCAGATTAGTGGATATGTACAGGTGGTTATTCTGGAGAGTGGTAGGGAAAGATCACTAAAGTTCCTCTTAAAAAATGGTCCAGTGACAACTTGAGGTGAGAGTAATGGCACTAGGAGAAATAGGATGGAGACAAAATGTAATTACCATCTGTGGTACAATCGGTTCACTAGCTGTAAAGATATCTCACTCTGGACCAAAGACTTGGACAGACCACCCTGTGCAGCAGTGCAGCGTGTCAGTCAGACTACACAGCACATGAATCATAAGTGAATTCTGAGTGATGACCTGGATTCAGGAGTCTTTTTTGCTACTTTTTCACACAATTCCTCACAGCAGTAGACTGTCATGCGACAGTATCTCTCCTCCCCACCAGGAAATGTCTTATTTGTATTATTGTTGCATTGCTGGGGCTGAATTTTTTTTTATAACTGGCAGGGCAAAAAATCCAGCACAGAACAATTTTTAATATTTATTTATACACATTTATGCACTAAACAACACCTTTGTATTTTTATTAACTTGCCATAGTACTAACATTACAGATTTGATTACTATTAAACATAAACAGAGCCTGGTTGCTTTACAGGTAAAGTGAGTCAATAGGATCAAGATAGGGCAGCTTGCTTAGGGAGTGATCAAACTGTGTTTCAAACTACACTAGCAACAACACCCAATGCTTGCTGGCCTCCATGAATATACCCACACTAATACACAAAGACTATGCATCAGCTCTAAACTAAACAGGCATATAAAACCCTCTTTTCCTCACGAGTATCGGCTGCCCTCATTACTCATTTTTTACCATCTCCATTTGGTCCTGATACATGGAAAAGCTGTATTATGTTTGACAAGGGCCACAAATGCTGACCGCTAGGCAGAGGTGTTGTGTTAATAGAGCTCTGAATGGAGATCTTTGTTGATAAGACCAGGGCGGCCTCCCACTCACAGTGGCAGCCCTGTGGTGCTAATGGCTTCATCATTGGCAGGCGAACCACGTCAGTGCCTTAAATCACTTATTAGCCCCAGGGATAAATGCACTGGGGGACCTCACCGTGTCAGCGTGATAGCATTTCACCTAATGTTTAGCCTATTTAATTGAAGGAAACACATGCACATGCATGCACACACTCAGACTCTCTCGATAGGTGGTTGCAATTAGCGCATAGCTGTTGTTTTTTATGCAAATGGCTTAAACTGGTTTGGGTCTATTTTTCGTGAACTGCATACCTTACAATAAGTGAATTTGTTTGAAGTTTTATGTAAAACATTAGGTAGGTATGTACATAGCCTCACTCAATGTTCAGAATATGAAATTGAAGTCAGTGTCTGTTTCTCATTTTTTCTTTATTCTCCTTTCTTCAACTTTTCCTTCCTCCGTACTGCACCTTTCCTTCTCTCAGGTTGGCGCGAGATGCCCCAGACAGATGCACCAGTCACTTTGATGCTGTGGCCCAAATACGAGGGGAGGCCTTCTTTTTCAAAGGTATTCAAGCTTAAAATGAGAAAGTAAACAAGAGAGACAGACAGACAGACAGATAGATGGAGAGTGACAGCGAGAGAGGAGAGAGAAAACGAGGTGAATGGAGAGGAGATAAAGTGAAAGAGGAAGGGACAGGGCTCAGGCACAGGACAGAATGGTGGCTCCAGCGATCAATAGAAAGCTAAGCCATGTGTGCCTCCCAGGGCTCGTATCACAGGCTCACACACCATCACATAGTCTGCAGTCTAAACAAAATGGTCCCATAGGGCCACACTGTTTTTGCTGTACACTTATTATCTGCTGAGCTTAAAATGGATCTTTTTGGCTTATTGGTCAGCGTGCCTTATATATTTATAAAGCAAGAGAGCTTTCCTCAGCCAAAATATGTTAGATAAAGAAAATTATTTCTTAAAACATACAGTACATGATGTGTATTGGCTAAAGATCCCATTCTTGCAAATTAGTTACACTAAACCTCTTAGCACAAGCACAGCTATTTATATACCCCAATACTGTTTTTCACAGGTAGGCAAAATAAGCTAAACAAAGGTAACAAAATGATTATTTTTAATGAGAAATTCAAAATCACGTTAATAGTCGTGTCGATGTGAAGGTGGGGTAGGACGTGTAATATGATTACTGCAAACACAGCGCACTGTGTCCTAACTAAACATGTCTTTTCTTCTAGACTCCTACAGGATATTTTGAAGAAGTTCCAAGCTCTAACCACTTCCTGTCTGTCACAGGGAAGTACTTCTGGCGACTAACTCGAGAAAAGCACCTGGTGTCTCTGCGTCCGGCTCAGATCCATCGCTTCTGGAGGGGCCTTCCACCCAATCTGGATGGCGTGGATGCTGTGTATGAGAGGCCTGGGGACCACAAAATAGTCTTTTTTAAAGGTCTGTGATTTCACATTTCTCTTAACATTCAGTTTGTATTTATCTGCGTGGGTTTAAATGACTAACTAAGCATGTCTTTGCCTCCTTGCTACACTGCATCAAGCACAATCAACACTGATGTGTTTTTAAATGTTTCTGTCGTAATTTGGTGGATAAATTCCAAACTAAGATGTTATTTCTTCCTTTAACTGTGACCTCTGTATCCACCCTTTCAGGTCTGAAGTATTGGGTATTTAAAGACAATAACGTGGAGGAGGGTTACCCTCGTTCTATCAGTGACTTCGGCCTACCTTCGGATGGCGTTGATGCTGCCTTTGTTTGGCTACACAACGACAAAACCTACTTCTTCAAGGACAACCACTACTGGCGCTACGATGACCACCTGAGGCGTATGGACCTGGGCTACCCTAAAGACAGCACACTTTGGAAGGGGCTGCCACCAAATCTGGACGATGCCATGAGGTGGTCTGATGGTGAGTAGTCATAAAAATCTATCTTTTACTTGCCATTTTACTTAAACTTTACTGACTCACTTGGTTATGTGACAGGTTTAAAATTTGTGGGGAGATTCAATAAAGGAGGGCATTGAAACATTTTGTTCTTTATGCTCTGTACCTATATAGTTAGTTTTAAAATAAGCCACAATTTTAACACTGCCACAAACAGTGGAAAAATATGAAGACAGGTTTATAAAGGTTTATGTGGCTCTAAGCTCTACGGAGTGTTATGGCAGCTTTCAGCTCATTGTTTTGGTTTTATAGCCTGCAACTATACTGCTTGATTAACACTGACAGTTTTCATCAAGCTCATTTCCAGATGTAGCAGACAGCTGAAAAAAGTTCTACAAATCCACCCAGTTGTAAAGGTTTATAAGGCCTTATGTGGCTCTAAAGGGAACTGTGAAAAATCAGGGAAAATTGAGTCCCTCAGGTAGTCTTAACTTGCCGCTGGAAACAACTAATTTTATATGAAAAATACACATAGCGAACTGTTGGTGTGGAGTTCTGCAGAAGTGGATGTTATGCAGCAGCACTTGGCAGCTCTGCTTCTAAAGGCTACAAACAATTAGCTTGGCTTATCTGAGCATAAACCTAGACCATATTAGTATCTACAGCAACATTTTGGAAGCTTGTTTTAAGCTTATGTTCAGTTATGTTATTTTTAACAAATAATAGCACGAGGGAAGTATTTTAACTTGCAAGTGAACACTGTACTATCTACACACACACGTCCACACAAATACTCTTTTGGCTACAGTATATAGGCTTAAATATATGTGTTCATGCACAATAATAAAAATAATCATTGACCCATAAAAAGTGAGCTGTGGTTATGGAACATAAACAGTACAGTTGTACATTTGCCTTTAGGAACTTTTGGATGCAAGATGTTCAAGTTTCCAGGCAACAAACTTTTTAGATTACAAACACTGAGTCAGTCTACCAGAAAGAAGTTGTAAGACTGGATTCTCGGCTTGCCAACAACAGCCTTGACCTTTACACTGCAAACACAGTAGAGAGCCATGTTGGGTGTTATGAATCCACAAGCCGGTCTCCCCTTATTAATCCCTGCTGCCACTGTGAGCTCAGTGGAGTCCGTCAGATTCATGGGGGGCACAGTATTTCAAAAAACACTTGAGATGGGATGACAAGATCACTAATCTAATTAAGGAGGTCTAACAGAGAATGTTCCTCCTACATTAACCTTTGAAATCCATCTTCTGATGACTCTGCCTTTTCCTGCTCCAAGAGAAAAAGAAAGTTTCTCACGTGAACAGTTGAGCAGTCAGTTGTCTTCGGTAAAAAGACCTGAATGGCACCAGAGCCAGAGCCAATGAAAGAAAACTGCTGATTTGACCACTTTTGAGCAGCCATGCATTTTACAGACTGCCCCCTGGCGTACAGCTTCAGTGCAGTCTTCACACTATCTGCATCACTTACCCCACAGTCGTTCACCTCCTCAGCCAGCCCTCCATCACCATCACACACACACACACACACACCAGTGCGCACCGTAAACATCCATTTGCACTGACTGAACAATGCAAATATGCAGATGGAGACTAATTTGAGCTATTCAGACTAACAGCTGCATTTTTCTGCTTTGCTGTGCTCATTGTTAGTTTAGTTGTACTTTTCTTTCTTGAATTCCTCTACTGGCAGGTTGAGACTGCAATATGTGTTTGGTCCTGTTTTGATTTGACTCACACTCCTTATGTCAGTCTCAAGTTATGTAACTACACCATGTCTCAGAAAATATGTCATGTTACTTACACACTCAGTGTAGCATGAATGATCATTTACCCTTTTTAGAAATGTTTTTGCAAGATTTAAAACTGCACAAATCAATATTTTTGTATCACCAATAGATCAAATGACTCTCTCTACACTCTCGATATCACCAGACCGCAGTCCCTTTCAGCTCTTCAGAGCGTTTTAGCATCTTTCAGCTCATTGTTTTTCACTGCTTGATTCACAGCTCTCATCAGGCTCGTTTTCAGACTCAGCAGGCAGCTCTTTTTAGGGCAAAAAGCTCTACAGATTCACAACAATTCCTCACTCAGCAGCTAGCTCGCTGCTAAAGATGCAGATATTTCTCTCAGGAGTTGGTGGAGGGTTGCTGGATGATGGGCAACTGTTTGCTAATACAATATGAATTATATATGTCAATTATTATTGTTATTATTATTATTATCCAAGTTGGCTTTTAACTTCCACCAGCAGAAATGACAATGTTGGGGTAAAAAATGTTGAAAACGTGGCCAACTGCTGGCAGTAAATTACTTATTACAAATTATTCCAGCTTGTTTGTGATGTCTGTGTGTGTGCATGTGTGTTGGTGTATGTCTGTGTTTCACATTTCTGTCCTGATAATAATTTGTGAGTGTGCTGGCTGTGACTGAAATACACAAAAGAAGAAGCTATTTCTAATACACTGCAATCAATATTAGGTCCTCATAACACTGGAAAGGTGCATTCAGATCACAGTTTTAATCATAAAAGTCATGTGATCCTTTGTATTAAGTGGAACACAAAAAATATTTTAAAAAAATACGCAGTGATTATCAGTATTTATATGTTTTAAGCAAGAATTTCAGATTTTTTAGTAGTTGTTTTGGCTGAACACTTGTCCTCACTATGCTGCCCTCAGCTTTAGCATTCACTCCTCAGCACCTACGCTGGGTATAACAGGTATTTTATCACGCTCCCAAGTTGTTTCTGCTCATGTCCACTCACAGCCTGAATTGTTTGTTAAACCTCGCTGTGTAAGTACCATCCTCACACAGACCGCAGCCTGCAGCATTTGAGCTGATTGTGGCTCTCAGTGACCACAGCCAAGACTTCTCTCTTTTTTTTCCTTGTTTTTTTTAGTGTCCTGCTCGTTTGTTGTGACTGAGTGGTCGCGCATGAGAAGTGTTTCATTGTGGCAGCATGGGCACTGCCTCCTGTTAATATATAATTAAACTGGTTCCAAAATATGATTATAGTCTCTGAAATTTCTGAAACGCATCAGGGAAGAAGTGTCAGTGCCAGATGGACAACGTGAGTATTGTTCTCTGCTATATCCCCAATATTAGCTCATAGGTTTTTATGACATACGGTCAACCACTAACCCAGCTATGGACGGTTACTGGAAAAAGAAATCATGGGCCATTACTGGTGACCTTTTTCGTTATAATCTTTTGTAATTTCATCCATGTACAACTAATGCTATCAGGCATTTACTCGAGTGTTCACCTCAGTAAAATAGTTTGGTCATTATAATTGGCCCTATCATTAAAGGAAGCCCAAGGTGATATTGACACTTAACAATTTAAATTAACAACTGATACACCAATAAAATGCATTAATTCTAATACATACTTAGTTTATATTATTCAATTAGTGCATGTGTGCTGATACGTGTCTTCCTCCCTTCCTATCTCTCCTCCTATCTATCTCCTTCACCTCCATTACTGGAGCATGTCACGCCTGGATCTGCCTTGTCAGTAATCTTTAAAGACTATGTGCATCTGTGCCTGTAAAACATTCTGGTCTTTTACCTCCTATAAAATGTCTAGTGCCTTCTATAAAACCCACGCATATACGCAAGAGTGAGAATATGTGTGCGTGTGTCCGTGTGAGCTCACAGCTGGCCTTGTGTAATTATGTGTGGCATTAGCATGACATTACCCATTATGAGCAGCCATTCTAAGTGTGTACTGAAAAAATAATTGCGATAACAAGAAAAACTAATCAGAATGTACAGTACCACTGAACTGAAGTATAAACACAGTTGTGTGCAAAAGGCCGGATGTTTCGATGGATGTAAAGGTCATTTAAAAGTTGTTGAGTTTCACTGAATAGTTGTAGTTTGATGCGTCCTCATTGTTTTTTAAATAATTGTGTGCATTTTTGCCTACAGCATATTTGTTTTAATGTTGTCTCATAGTTGGAACTTGGAAAAGTTTATTAATAAGGCCAGTGAGATTTAAACTCTTGGGCGAAATGGTTTTGAAACTGAGAGCCTGTTTTATAACTGAATCACTTAGCAGCATAGGAGGATGCAGAGGATAATAGTATGAGACTTAATGAATCATAAGTATGAAATAAATCAGTAAGGCAGCTGTCATACTGTCAGTGAAAGTCTTAAATAATGTTAAACGTAATGAGCATTAAGATTTTCATTGCGTAGAGAATAAAATAATAAAATATTCAGTTTCATCATATGGGGATGAATGTGTGAATGGACATTTTTAAACAGGCCAGAACATTTACATTCATTGAAATTCCAGCTCAACCTGTCAAACAGGTACCAGAAGAATGGCAGTATCAGGTCCCCTGTTTCAGTGAGACTTGCACATGAACCGATGATCTCGCTGCCGATCAACGTACTAATGTATAATATCTCTGGTTCTTAAGAGTGAAATGAGCCACCGTGCTTGGTTGTAACCTTCCTGGCATGTTCTCATGGCAACCCAAGCAACATGTGCACATCAAAGTTTGATTGTTTCCCGTTCTCATTAATAAGGAAAGAGCATGAAATGCATTGATTTAAGTCAAGTCACTGATTCTGCAGACCTTATCTCTTCAGGCAGGTTGTTTAAAAGTTTAGGGGCCCTGATGGCAAAAGCACGGTCACCTGAGGATGTAAGACTGCGCACTAGCTCATAAGGGGTCAACATTTCTGCTATGTAGCTTGGGGCCAGACCCAGACGTGCTTTAAATGTGATTAGTAAAATATAATGAACAGGAAGCCAGTGGAGAGAAGACAGGATTTGGGTGATGTGTCTTCTGTTAAACCCAGTAAGAAGCCTAGCTGCTGCAGTCTGAACTAGTTGGAGGCGACAGAGTGGCTTTTGGTTTATGCCAGAGAGGAGGGAGTTTACAGTAGTCTTATTTGGAGAAAATGAGTGCATGAATTACTTTTTCCAGGTCAGGGTGAGAGAGGATTGGTTGATTCTAGAGACAGCTCTTAAATAAAGAAAACAGGACTGGATAAATTTGTTGATATGTGGTTCAAAGCTTGGAAGGAGAACGGACCAAGGCCATTCTGAATGGTATTTATGCGGTTGGGAGGACTGTACAATAGGATTTCTGATTTAGAGTCGTTGAGTTAAATGAACTGTTGTACAGTTGACATCAATGAGACAATCTAAAACAGCAGCTAGGCTTCTTGGGTCAGCAGGTCTCAGAGGAAGGTATATCTATGTGCCGTCTGCAATGAAAAGAGACATTATGACTCCGGATAATTTGTCCAAGAGGAAGTATATAGATGGAAAATAAAATTGGACCTAAAATAGAACCTTGCGGTACACCACAGGTAATGCGAGTTGTAGATGATGAGTAATTACCTGTGAATACCAAGAAGGTTCTCTCTAAGAGGTAAGAATAAAAGAGGTAAGAATAAAAGAATTTAGACCTGCACCTAGGTCTAAAAGAGTTCAAATCTCTCCCCTATCGGCTGCTAAAAGAAGGTCGTTGGTTACCTTGAGGAGGGCAGTTTCTGTGCTATGTAACGCTCATTTCAAAGATGTCATTATGACACATAAAAGCTAAAATTGGTCATTATGCTTTTATACCAAAAGTATGACCATATTTTAAACCTTCAGAATTTTCAAATATGCGTTTTGTGACAGAATATTTAAAGGGGAACTTAAATTCATAAAATTCATTAAAATAAAATCATAAAAAATACAGTTTTTGGCCTTGGACTGAAAGGGTAAAAAAATAGATGTCATACAAAAAATAAGTGTAAGGATTAATGTATTCATTCAGTAAACAAGTTCAGAGATAATATCAAATATTTGGTCTAAGAAAATTACACAAGTTATTATATTGGCTTGGTCCTGACATTTTGTTTGACGAGGGCTTCATCTGGAGGGTCCCCAGGTGGTGCAGAAAGGTTGCCTGCTGCTCCTAAGCAATTACAGTAGGTCAAATGCAAAGGACATATAGCCTTCCCATAAGGATTAGTAATGTTTGCTTTAACTCGACTGTATTGGCAGCCTTCACCAAGCAAATACCCTTTAAGGAATGCCTCAGCAGTTGGCTGCGCATATTAGGCTTTGATAAAGCACTTGTAGGTGTTCAAAACTGGCACAAAAACAACTAATTAGCAGGAGATACTCAGTCTTTATTTCAGGCAACTCTCAATGGGAGCAAGCAACATCACCTTTCTCCCCTTTAGCAATTCCCAGCTGTATGTGTGGAGGCTCTTTTCCCTGTCAGGTGTTCAGAGGTCTGTGTTGTGTCTGAGCTTCCGCCAGCTTCAGAGGTCCTGCTCCAAGCTCTCTGGTGTGCGTGTGTGTGCATGTGTGTGTGTGTGTGCATGTGGGAACAAGCCAACTGCAAAGGAGGGGGCAGTCCCACTTCCAACATAATCCCCAGTTCTGTGGGAAGACACATATAAATGCATGTATGTATGTATATTCAGGAACATACAAATTCACATATAGGCACACCTTCGGGCCAGGAAACTGGAGCCACATCAAGCCTTTATCTGCCTCCAGGCTGCATCCACAAGCCTAGGATAAAGAGGGAATAGAGAGACAGATGGAAGAGGAGAGGAGAGAACACTGAAGATGTGGTGAATAGTGAGTGAGAGATCACAGGTTTAAGAGATGGATAAGAAATATACTGGAAGGAGGAGAGCAATGGTATGGTAAGAACAATGCTGGAGGGGAAGCAAAGATAATCGGAAACGGGAAAAGATCATCCGTATTATTAGTTATACATTTGCCTTTCCCAAAAATCCTGCTAATATATTTATGTTTGCTGTATAATACTTACTTTGCATCCTTGTTATGCTTTCATCTGCTTTAAGGGCAAATACAAAGTGAAGTTAGTATTTATTTCTGTTCAGTGTTGTTCTTCTGTTGTATTTTGCTGCATCTCAACACACACACTAATACCAACCCTGTGCCTTCCTCTATCTCCAAAGGCTCGTCCTATTCTTTCCAAGGGAAGAGTACCTGGCGAGTGCCTAGCAGCCGACATGGAGGTGGAGGCGGCCTACCCCCGCCTCACCGCTACAGACTGGCTGCTGTGCACCGAAGTGCAGTCGGACTCCCGGACCACAGAGCCAAGAAGGCAAAGACGAGAGGCAAACGTGCACCCATCACCCGGACCACGCCCAGAGAATGGATACGAGGTGTGCTCCTGCACCTCTGACACTGCCTCGCCTGTTAGGCCACGCGCCCTCCCCGTCAACCCCCCTGGTGGCTGCTGCCACCTTCTCTGGAGCTCTCGCTCGGGCCCTCTACACTCTGAAATGCTATGATGGCCGAAAGCAGGGGACAGAGTTCTCAAGCCGGGGGCGAAAAAGAGACTATTTGGTGGAGGGCCAGTGGACACTAAAAAAACTGGAAAATTTTGTTCATATAAATATCAATTGGTATGTTCTGGTATTATTTTGTTGTTATTTATTTCACATGCCCTTTGATGGTCATCTAAAGCGCCTTGCAGTATGAGTAGTACATACATGCATATACATATACATATATACATCCATATTATCATACTTGGGTATATCTTATAGGCATCGATCCACTGATAATGCTAATACCGTGCTTTACAAATTGAGTTCTATCTCTTGGTTTCTTCTTGAATGGCTGAACTGTCTCATGGTTGTAAGGAAGCTAATTGAGTGTTCAGAACCATGTTCATGTGAAATACTATAGTATTCCAACAGCATAATGGCTTTTTTCATGTACAACAAGTTTACAACAATAATAAATTGCATTCTGGGATGTGGGTAAATGGCATTCAGGGCTGTAGTCGTTGAATGGCATCCTGAATAGTTCAACATTTGGGAAATGAAATATGCTTATTCGCAGTCTTGCCGAGAGGTAGGTGAGAATATCAGTGCCACTGTCATGTCTGTCTGGTAAATATTAAGCTACAGCGAGCGGCCGGGGAAAAGGCTGAACAGTTCTCTTCATGGTAAAAAGAAAAAACTGACGTGTAAAATGTGTTTTTACAGTACTCATTTTTTTTTGCTACCTCCAGAAAGAGCCAGGCTAGCAGTTCCCCCACTGTTTCCAGTCTTCGTGCTAAGCTGAGCTAAGCCAGGTCCTGATTGATCTTCTCATCTTAAACTTGGCAGGAAAGCAAAAACACTTTTTAAATTGTGCCTGACGAGTAGAACTTTTGTGTCCCAGCATTCACCACTAATCAGAAGGTTCTGTTTAAGTTTGGGCTGGTTGCAGTGAAGCTTCCAGTTATGAGCGCGGTTGGGGTTTGAGTCTACAATCCTAGAGAAAGAATATAACTCAACCTGACAGTAAGAGCAGCCTGAAAGACTCTAACCAGGGCAAAGAATGACATGTGGTATATAGATACTGTAGTTAGACAGTTGACTGACAACCTGGTATGTATCTAGGCAGACGGGTGAAAAGTACCCTGGGATTTAGTGTAGATAGAGAGTTTTACACATGAATGGCCCCATGGGATGTTGACGGAGTACAAATGAATGGCTTGTGTGGATGTCGACAGGTAGATGAATGGCATCGGGGGCTGTAAACAGGTAGGTAGCTACATGAGGAAAAGAGCGCCCTCGGCTGTAGGAAATGAGACCAATTAGTGACTTCCTGTATGACAGAGAAAGTTCAAGACTTTCCCAATGTCGCTCAACGCCATTATTCTTAGCACCATTAGCTTAAACCCCTTACTTAGCCCTCCCATGCTCTTTGAGGAACTGCTGCTCATGCACTGTATCTCCATGAATTCATCATTTTCAGCTCTGGTACAGAAGCATTTCCTGCCATTATCAGAGGCAGTATTGGTTTTGTTGTATTTTTATTTTTTTGTAATAAAAATGGATAGATTGTGACTCCCTATTGCTTTGATCAGATTATAGTTCACAGAGCCGTTATCCTCACTGCTGGACGATTTCCTTCATCAATCCATCTCCTGGTGGCGTCGTTAGCAGACCTCACGAGATAGCATCTGGATTTATTATTGCTGATATATTTACCTACAGTTTAATATAGACACCGATATATTTGAGTTGAGATGTTCCATGGTCACTGCAAAACCAAGTGGACTGTGTATATTTCAAAGTGTGTTTTCTAATGTAAAATATTTTTGTAGAAAAATAAAAGAATCTGAACGACTTTATTGGCTATAACTGTGGTCACATGAATTTGACAGATTTTTTTTGAGTACTCTGTTGCGGCTGACTGTAATTATTTTGTGTCATTGAAAAGAACCCTGGTCTTGAAGACAGATGAAGGTAACATGACAGCTTGCACACACCAACTGGGAGCTGCTCTCCATCTCTCTGATGTTCTTAATCATGTTCCTCTCTTGTAATGGTCACTGCTGCTGATCAGGAAAGCAAACCACATCATGTCAATCACACCACACACATTTTGCTTTAGGAACAGATTTGCTGGCGGAGGATTATATATATATACCGGAGGATTATATATATATACCCGTACTTTTTCAAGGAGGTGCATCAGAGAAGTAATGTCACCTGATGTAAAAATATTCAGCAGCTCAGATACTGCTTACTTGGAGATCAAAGTGAACTGTGGGCGGCAAACAACTGAGACAAGTGCTAAAGAACATTGTGTACCACGAGAACCACAGCAATTAAATTAACCAAGAGGCTACAGATGACCTCTACCACAATATGCACACCCAAACCTAATTCAGTTTCAAATAAATAAAAGCATTAGCCATTATTTTTAGCCTCCTGCTCGGTTGTGTATTATTCTGTTTACATTTCCGTTTTGTATTCTGCATCCCGAGATTACATGCACACACACAACTGCCATTGTGTTTTAGTTGTAATAGGCTGCACTGCTGTTGTGCTTTTCAATATACTTTTTCCAAAATCACGTAAATTTATTATCATATTTAAAATGAATCCATTGTTATTCCCCCTGCATCTCCCTCTTGTCATGCCTTGCGGGCCAGGGTGTGACACCGCTAAGAGCAGCAATTTTTCTTCCCTACTCTTGACACACTTGAGTGGTGTTAATTAACTGGTGTGGCTCGGCTGCCATCGGGAGAGCACCTGCTCCCAGGGGCAAATGCAGCAGGACGGGTCACTTTTCAGCAGTTTGTCCAACTGATCCTATTTGAGCTGCTACTTCAACCAAACCTAATTGTTAGAATTAAAAATGTAATAGTTTGCAGGTAGTGGACCAGGGAAGTGTAGTGAGCATTATGTCAAACTGTGTTTTTTAACTAAAACCATTCCTTTTTTAACTAAAAAATCCTTTCATTTTTATCAGCCTTTCCACATTCACTGTGTTTAATTAATACATCCCAACCTGGATTGGTCTTGATTGACGCTGTTGTCTAACAACTGTGTATAATATATATTCCAGCCAGGCAGGTTTGCATCAGTCAAATTAAGACTTCTCTGTCTCAGGAGACATCTGAACTGTTTTATGTTAAAAGACCTACAGCATAAGTTGAACTTATTACATTACAAATACACACACCACAAATGATATATTACCATTATCATCGTGTTATGTCACAATCATTTTGTTTCTGTAACCACTTGGCAGAAAAAGGCCAAGCTCCTAAAGTACCACCAGTAAGTTGAAAAGCAATGCCAGCCTGAGCAGGAGAACTGGCCTGTGGAGTCCTTTGTTAAACAGTGTGTTAAACAGTGTGTATATGTAACTGTGTGTCTGTGCACGCACCGAAGTATAGCCCTGTTCCCACAGTCACTGCCCTGTGGAGAAGTGATGCTGTCAAGAGCCCGGCTCCAAGTTGATGCATGGCTGTGAGGTTGAGGGGAGGGTCCACAGAAGGAGCTGGTTCAATCTTGCATGGTGAGAGAATCAGAGGCAGACCTGTCAGACCGGGCTCTGGCAGCCCTCTGCCGTCACATTCCTCGAAAGGTCACTTTTTTTCAACTCTTGCCCACACAAGCCGGGAGGGGGAGGGGGGAGGATTCAGCGGGGAGTGAGGGTGCACCCAAAGTTTCAAAGTTTGAGCAGAAGCATCGCCTCCAGTCTTGACGTCTGGTGTGACAAAGTGACAGTCCGAGACACGGGAAGGTTCACCTTGACGGAACATGTGTGGACTGGTGTTGCGAAAATAGACACAAGATACGACGTATGAAGCCAGAATGTCATGTGGGCACTCAAAGCACAAAAAATACTATAAAAATGTATGTAAGTATATAAGCAAGACTGGCAGAATATACAGTATTTATATTTTTATCCATTGTTGTTTTTCAATGTTTTGCTGCCTTACACCTAATGTCAGTAATTTCATCACTGCTCTACCACAGAGGAAAGCAGAGAGGATGCTCAGGTTGATTGTATCATGAAATAGAAGAAAAATGAGCAACAGAATTTTAAAAAAGCAAAACACGGGGCAAGAGAGCAGAGAGCGCTCCTGAACTCACTGAGCTGTCAATCTGTCTTTTCTCTGGTGCGCCAACTGACACCCTTTATCAGGTGATGACTGTGAAATGACCCTGAGGCCCCTAATCGAGTTTAAACAAAACAGCCACGCATGACTTTCTAAGTATTCTGTTCTCATTTATTATCCAGCGAGTAACGTGTTGAACATGACTCATTAATGCTCTCAAAATAAAACAAGGTGTTCTGCTTGCAAGCGTGCAGATACCAGGTTGCTACAACTTGTCACTTGAGTCAGCATGGCTTGGTGGTGGAGACTGAAAATGAAACAAATCTGGGGATTGCGGACTTTAACAGACCTCTATTGCCCACTCTTCACCTCTGCTTGATGCTAGCAGCTTGAGGCTACATTAGCGACTAATAGAAAGACACCCAAATCTTTTGACCAAACTGTCGGTGAATGAGTTGCCCTTATAGATAATGCAGGCTCCAGGTTTTGGCAAGTAAAAAGCATTTGTGGAATAAAAAAAGATAGCTCTGGTTCCACTGCATCGCTTTTGATCCTCCTCTTAAAAGCTGAGAATCAGTGTTAACTGGAGTGCAATTCTAAATCTATGGAGAGAGCATGCTGTGGAGCCTAATGAATGAATTTCCTGTTGTGTTATTGAGAATATTTAACACAGCTCCTAACAGCTTAGTTAGATTTAAAGTCACTGACAACATAGAAGGGTGACGGTTGTGGAGAATAATCAACAGTTTTAAACATTTATCAGGGAGTTCCCTCACTCAGCCATTGCAATTTTACTGATCTGCAATGTAAGATCACTGAAGTTGTTTAACGACTTGTGTTTCCAGCAGGAGTTGGAGCTACTTGATGCTTTAGAAAAGCTTTATATTCAGTCTATGAATACCAAAGTCTCCCCTGAGTCCTAGGCTCCCTCAGTTG